AGAATATGGTAGCCCAAATCTCGCAGAAAATACATTCACACGTGCTCTAAGGTCTGTGCTGAATTCCAGTTGATTGCTGGATACTCTCAGAAGTGTTGATTTTAATACATAAAATCATAAATGGTTTGGATGCTGATTCCCAAAAGATTGTGTGTCTTATGGCATTTGAGGACATCTTTCATGAATTACACAATATTTGGTGTTGTTCTACACGCCTCAGCTCTTGGAGTTGCACTGAGAATCTCAGATTTAATCAAAACAAAACCATTGCGGAGAAAAGCTTGAAAAAGTGACCCACATGCACTCTAAAAGATCAGGAATCAGAAGGCAAATTTAAAAAATCCATAACGCTAAAGCAAATCTCATTTTTAGGGCCTGATGAACAATTTTTGAATGGGTGGTTTGGCAGTGTTGAAGCCATTACTTTTTTATGTTAAAAATGTAATGAAATATTTGGAGAAGTCATCTGTGGAAGATTAAAATTCACAACATGATGCTCTCCACTGTGTTTCTATTCACAATCTCGTATTTCTACCATCTGGAAGGGAAATGTTTTTGACCAGTGTAAAAGGAATGGGAGTTTGGAAAATCAATTTCCATTGATTAACTTGAAAAAAATTATAACCTGCCAAAGTGTCTTTTCCTCCTGGCAAGTTAAGATGAAACATTTTGTGTATGTACCTAAAGAATACAGTTGTAGATAGCTATACAACATTGAAAACATTATTGAAAGGAGCTGAGATGGAACACAGTTCACATCTGGTATTAACTTTCTCCTACCAAACCAGAATCATCTTCAACCCTCAGCACAGATAAATATATGAGAAATTGTTATGGAATTAAATTTTGGATGAACAATCGTAATACATCCATATCCATTTTACCTTTCATTATGAAATATTAGTAGTAGATTCTGAGTATCTTAAACTGATTATAGCAGACTAGATTATGCTGGAAAAGAATTAGTACATATGTAGACTAAGCATGTATGATAGGATTGCTCAAGAATCCAAGTATCTGCTAGAGTCATCAAAAGATTTGAGTAACTCATCAAATCTCTAAAGTACATTTAATGTCTGAAGCTAATAGCACAAATGAGATGGTAAGAGTGGTGTCACAGAATGATGCATTCTGAGGTGTCTTTAGCAAACTATGGAATTTCACTCAATTACATGGAGTAAAAGTCTTATAAAGAGGTAATTAATCCTGGTATCTCCTCTGACTAGCTCTGCAGTCAGGTTAGTGGGCACAATCAGCATAGGTTTTTGGTTGCAGCTCATCTTTAAAAATGAACTGAACCAACATGTCCAAAGGACACAGCCAAGTGTCAGACACATTACACAATACCAAACACAGTCAGCTAATCTGCAAAAATAAATACACATTTAAAATGAATCCTCAAAAGATGACACACAGTAAGGGAGAAGAGTTGAAATACAAGCAATCCTGTCTCTCTCTCACTCATGATCCAACCTTTTCTTCAAGTCTTGTCAAATGCATTTCTTATAAAAGAGCTAGAAATACTACACTCTCTTTTAGAGACAGAAGGGTTAATAATATAGACAACATAAAGTCTATTAATGAAACAAACTTCATTATTCAATATCACTGAAGTTTTTTCTGGGGTTTCCCATGATGTATCTAAATTGTAAGCACTTAGTCTTCATACCTGTTTGTAAGATGCAAAACATGCTGTTGCAAAGATACAAATACATAAAATAAGTAAAAAATACAGTTAATCATTGATATCTGCGTGTAGGTTAGCAGGTAGGTTAATAAAATCATCTCTGCGTTTCTAGAGGTGTTGAGCATCCATAACTGCCACTGAAGATAATGAAGGTGACAGTACTCAGCATCTCTGGAAATTGGGCTCTAATTGTATGCATCTTCCTGGGCTTACGTAAGGTGTTGTACATCAATATCTTCCGACATCTCCTACCTGCATTTGCACGTGTGATTCCATGCAGGAAGCATGTTATATCAGCACAGGGCAAGCTTTCACGTTTAACCACCTTCCTTAGGTTGTAGCTACCTGCATCACACTCAGGTTATGCCTACACTGCAGCTGGGTGTGAGCCTTTCAGCTGGAGTCAGCAGACTTCTGAGAGTGGGGATCAAGCTATGACACTAAATATAGCAGAATGGACATGATAGCTTAGGTTGGAGCCCAGGTTCTGAAGCCTATCGGGTCAGTTGGGCTTGGATAGCCCAAGATCCTACCCAACTTGCAATGTCCATAACTGCTATTTTTAGTGTGGTAGCTCCAGACCTGCTCACATGAACTCCCAGCTGCCATGGAGACATACCTTATGAAGACTACAATGCACTTTTAAAATATGGTTAAATGTAGTCAGATCTATCTACGCTGGAAGGCCAAGCAGTTGTACAGTCTGGTTCAGTGACAACCATTTTTATATCAATCAAGTTTAAACATACATCAGTGTTATTTGCCCTCTCTAAAATTTTCCTTTCTGATTTTTCAAATTCCCATTAATAAACACAGTTAATTCCAATCCATTCCTCCACCCTTTTGTCAGTCTTGCTGATTTAGATGGTAAACTCTTAAAGATAGTAACAGTAGCTATGTTTGTATTGTGCCTGTTACAATGGGACCTAAATCCTAGTTGCAGGCACCAAAGTCTACTGTAATGCAAGTAAATATTAATAATACCCGATCTGTACTGAACTCCTTATTTGCGGTGCAGATCTTCACTGTATATGTTGGATGTGCTCCAGACAGGAAACTTTCTATTGACAGCATGGGATTCTGAGAACAGTACTAGCATCAAAATCTGTAGTGAAAATTAGTGTGTGAGATTTTTCCCTATTAAAGAGACCTCAGGCATATATATTAAACTGGACAGGGAGAATAAAGAGGGTCGAAACATTTTAAAAACAATCTAGGCTATCTTATGAGATGAGGTCCTAAATTATAAGGTATTTATATTCTAAATAAAATATAACATCAATTTAAATAATAATTTGTAAAATAAAGTTTTAATCTGGGTTGAGAAATTGTATGCACTATCAGTCTGAAATTAAAAAAATCCAGATGAATAATAAACACATTATAACCTGTTTATACTGGGATCATGAACAGCTCATTAGCAGAAGTAGCACTTAACCTTTCAATTATATTTTTCTGCTGTGGTCCGAGGCACACTACACAGTGGTTTTTAGATTTCATTTCTAGTACTTTTAATATATAAATATTTCTTGATTTATTATAAAGCCAGAACAGTGATTTATTTGTCTTCCAAAATCCACAGGACCAGTGTTCCCTCTAACATTTTCTGTCTTTGGGCAGTTTGAATTTTCTTTTGAATGGGTTGAAATTTCTCATGTGTAATACCAATACTGAGGTAGTGTGGGGATGTACACCACCAATATAGTTAACAAGGAACAATGATATTTAATAGGAAATTAAATTAAAAGAAAATCAACACTATCCTAGGAGTACATATATTATCATCCTTCCTAACAACTCAAGCTAGTAAACACACCAAAATTCATATTATCAACACATAGCTCAGCTTTAATATGCTAAACAAATCTGTGAGTCAACTAGAAAGTCATGCTCTCCTTGCAAATGCTAATATAATATTTACTGACACTGGAAAGGAGAGTAAAAAAGCATTCAGTCAGGCTTATACAGTTTCTCTGGGGAATGTTTAGGGTCCATGTTATACAAGAACAAGGGAAACAGAGACCTGTAAAAGCATAATAGTTCTCCTGGTTTGAAACATTTACCTTGTGTGTGTCACCAATTCAAAGAGTAGAAACTCCGGAGCAAATTAACACACAGCTTCAGGGTTTGTAGACAGATGCACGTTTCAAAGAGCTTGGAAATAAGATTTCATCCTACAAATCAACTAGCATCACACCGAGTATTTGCTACTTCTGACTCATATGAGCCAGAACTCTACCACATTACAAAGATCTGGCCTTAATGCAATACAACTTACCTTATATTAATTAGTAACACAGGATTTTAAAAAAATCATTAAGATCAGCGTTTTAGATATCTGCAACACTCCAAAAAAATTCTGTTAAAAGAATCTTTTTCTTTCTTACCGTAAGCCATAACACCTATGTAAATTTTGTTTGAAATGTAATTACTCAAATGTCCTGGCACTCCCCCTCCCCCCATGTAGTCTGCTTCCTTCCCTCCCTCCCTCCAACCCAGCCAGAGAGAACTGCAATCAGGACAGCAGCAAGTGAGTCAGGAAGACACACCAAACAAACTCTGGCCCGCTTCAACCCCACTACCCAGATGCCAGCACTGAACCATCCCTTTTCCCCCCACTTCCCTCTGTGCAATCTGCTCCCTCCAGCCCAGAGATGCAATAATATCCTGCTTCTCAGACTTTCAGGCACCAGCAGTCTAGCTGGGAGTTAGGACAGGACACACAGCACAAACGAATTCTCCACCCCCCCCCCGACTTCACCCCAAGAGACACAGCACAAACTTCCCCCTGCCTCCACCTCACTCCATGCAGCCAGCTTCACTCCACCCTGCTTCCTAGCCCAGGAAGCTTGAGGGGAGTGCTGGGTTTCTGCCTCTACCTCCTTTCCTGACACAGATGGAACTCTCCAAACTCCCCTCCCCTCCGATTCTTCCCAGCCAATTACTCTCTCCTCCTTCTCTCCCTAAATGCCCCTACTTCACAACTCTCCCTGAGTGCTGGGTTTCTGCCTCTACCTCCTTTCCTGACATCCTCTTTAGGCTGATCATCTGAGAAACGGGACTCCCCAAACTCCCTTCCCCTCTAACACCCCCCCATCCACTTCCTCCCTCCTCCTCCTCCTCTTCCCAAACTCTCTTACCCTACAACTCCCCCCAGCCACTTATCCCTGACTGCGTGGGAGCTCTGAATGGGGCTCAATAAATAGCTGCATGGTCATGCAGCCGCGCAGCTTACAGGGATCTTAGCACAGGACTGTGAAATATTTGGCTACCCAAGAAAATTAATAAAAACAGAAGCATTTAAAATATAATTGTAACAAGAAAACAAATTTATTGATTTTTAAAAGACAAGACACAATTTTGTTTTGAAAAACACAAGAAAGCTAGCCTGAGTTCAAGTCTGAAATATTCAGAAAAATCCTACTATCTTTAGTATGTTCCAGTCATTTGTTTAAACAACACACTAAAAGTTAATATATATTTTTATAATTATAAAAGTTCCCCAGTTATTGTACAGTACACAATACAAATTGCCCACAAACTATTATTTAGCTCCTGCCAATTTTGAGAGGACATGATATACTAAAAGATTTAGCATTTCTCACAAAAATCACATCAGGAAATACATATTTACAAAATCAAATACATTATACAAAAAACCCAGCACATTATTCTGTAAAGATGTTTGCTTTAAATAATTAAAAAGTATATTTAACTGTAATCCAAAAACTGGAAAAGAACATTACATTATCTCACACATACAATCTACAAAAAGTTGCTTACCTCATTTACATAACATATTCAGTCAATTGGGAAATAAAAGTTCAAATATCTCCTAGTGTTACAATGTTTCTGTGCTTGTGGGACTGAATAATGTAATCTGCCACTTACTAAGTGAAATTTAATGATGGCACTTAACAAAAATAAACACAACAAAGGAAGTTACCTAAAAGGTAAGAAAGCCCTGAGTGATAGTAGAATTTACTGGTTGGTAAGCACTACAATTAACCTAATTAAAAGTTTACCACCTCAGGCACGAATTTCCAAGTTTTCTAAAGGCACTCGCTTAAAGTTTCTTTAACAGTCTCGCTGGTTACTATTGTAAATCCAATTTTCTGGCAACAAATGGGGATGGGAGAGGCTCAGGGAACTTGCTTTGGTACAAATGATACCTTTTCTGACCAACAAATATTTAAAATATCAATTGGGTTATTTTAAGACTATATTTAATGTATAACTATAAGCCAAATCACTTTAATGTTTTATTCAAGAAAAATTTACTTGGGATCCCTTTAATAGTCCTTGTGTAAAAAAAAATAATAAAAAAAAATCACCTGCTAACTTCAGTAGGTAATCTTCTTAAGCCTGAAGTACTGAAATGGGTCCCTGATAATCATTAGGCAAAGAGGGTTATTCCTCCCAATTAATATATTCTTCTGACAAAGTCTTTTATTGGTTTAGAGTGAAATTCAGCCCAGTAAAAGACAGTCCCTGCAAGACCATCTGCACCACCTGAGCCCCACATTAAACACAGCCCTGATTCAGGAAAGCAATCAAGCATGTGTCCAACTATGACTTATATGAGGCTCACCATTTTGTGCTGGGCCTTCTCTTCTAGGATGAATTTCACCCTTAACCAATATAAATTAACAATTCTTACCAAATATTTCATTACTCAGGGCTTCCAATCCCATCATCATAATTCACTTAAAAATTAAAACAAAACAAAAGAGTTAAAAACAATCTTTGAAAATAAGGCATATTTGACTTCAAACAAAAAACTACGCAGTCACTTTGTAAGTGGCTTTTACTATTTTTTAAGTAAAACTGGTAAATTAAACTCAGGTCTACTGGCACATAAAATCACTAGCAGCAATGATCAAGGCATGCAAACTGAGAAGCATTTACAGTAAATTATGAATAAAAAATTGTTAAATTAAAACCCTTTGAGTATTGCATTTGTTTTTAATTATGCATGAATTTGCATTGTTTACCTGACTAAAAATGTTTACAACATATCTGCACTACACTACTGATGTAATTCCACTAAACATCTTATTATGAGACTTTTTTTGCACTCAGCTAGACTAAAGCAAGCACAACTGCAGATAATGGTGATCACTGGTTGATACTGCAGGGAACCAGTACAATATCTACAATATTCTCATATAGTAAGGTGACATTTAGAACTATATTTTCAAAGAGTCTCCTCCCACTTCTAGATTAATGTCCTTATTTTTATGTGCACAATTCATTTGTGAGAAAATGGTGTTTTTTCAGATACTAAAATGCAGGTGCAAATTTGTATGTTTGTTAAAATTCTGACACTCAGTAAGGGCCATCCAAAAGTGCTTTCACAGATGAAGTTGAAAACCAAGTGCCTCTATTTTCTTTGTTATCCCTATGCCATTTCACAGTGACAAAATGGTGAAGTGGTATAAATAAAATTATGTTCTTTTTGCAATTGCTTATAGAAAAGATTGTGCAGAAAATTTAACACACATCCCAAAGGTCCTGCAAAATTCATCCTTACTTATTATGACCAATGTGTTCTCTTTTCATTCCCAATGATTTCCACTTACAGTACTGGTACTTTCCAATGCTACCCTAATGAGATTTTCAAAATAGTTCAGAATAACCCCTTTTGCTCAACTTCCACCCTTTAAAAGCATTGTGAGTATTTCACAGCTTATATCTATCATATATTTGAGTCCTTCATTAAATGTTTATGGGATTATGAAACTAAAGGAGTTGAAGTACTATTTTTATTGTAGGCAGTACACATATATGGCAGTGAATATTTTAGCCTGAATCAATCAAACCTTCTACAACATATTCAAAAGTCTATATAGTATGCAGCTATTTACTTTGGGGAAAAAAAATTGTTGCAACATAACCAGACACTTACATGCATACAATATCTTCAGTAGCCTAATAGTTAAATTATCTGAAATGCTTATCCCCTTACAATGCTCAAAGGGTTAATGCAAGGCATTACATCAAATGAATTCTCTAATACTAGAACTAAGCACTGTTTTTATGCTTCTATTTCAGTTTTTTTTTAAATCACCAAATCAAGTATCAGAGAGACTATAATTCCATACATTGACTTATTTTAACCATGTACAGAGGTTGTCCTGTTCCATAGAGACAAGGGCCCAATTTTCAGGAATTAGTACTTCTTTCCCAAATTAAAATGTCAAATTCTAGAATTACTGTCAAAAATGAGTTCTACTATTATAGCTTTTACTGATTTCTTTGTATGGCAATAAATGATTCTTTTGTTCAGTGAAGCCACTTCTGTAAATGAAACAACTGCAATCCATTTTAAACTAACATATGTGTTTTCCTAAACAGTGCAGGTGACATTTAGTGAGAACAACAAATATATCAGATAAGGTTTCCACTGAAAGTAATTTGAACATAGCAGTGTTTCCAACATTAAAAAATACCTCGTTTTAAATTAAACAAATTTGTATACAGAACTATACATTCCTGAATGACAGTATACCAGCACTTTTTTGATTTTACCCATTTGTGAAACTCAAGGCAGTAATGTTGCACATCACTTATTTTGTAGGTAAACAACTTTAAACTATTCTCCAAATGTTGTTTAAGGGCTATTATCTAAATAAAGGTGCATTAAACATGCTACAGTACAAGAGTAAGCATAAAAAGTATAGCAAATTTGAGACACAAAAATCTAGTGTACAGTGAGAAACATAAAAATTAACAACTTTGCATACATAAAAAAAATTTGTGAAAATTGGGCCCTTTGTTTTGAGAAAGTGGTTCAACAATACCCCCTCACATTGCTCACTGCATTATTTGTGCTAAAGAGGGAGGGATATTTTTAAAATAATTATTCTGAAATCAGTGTCTGGATCAGATAAAATTCACAAATCACATAGGCTCTGACTGCAATATGTAGGATGTGGGCAAACTGCTGCATCCCAACAGTGCACCAATGAAGTTATTGGGCTTAAAGGTTGGCACTTAAGTCAAGCCACATGCTATACAATGCAGAACTGGGGACAGGGTTTTAAAATCTCTGTTTTTACCAAAAATCATTAACCATGCCAATATATTAACAAATAGCATAAGTGTGCAAATTGATTGATTATATACATAGTGTTTGATTTATTACAACTCCATTAAATGTTAAAAAACCTCCCAAACTCAAACAAACACAAACCAAAAACAAAAACAGAAACCCACACAACACCAGCCAAGTGTGTAAATATACACAGTATTTTACTCCATTAAAGGAGAGATCTAGTAAGAAAGTGATGGAAATATTATTTAAAATTGATACTATGATCAAATTATAAACATGGGAATATAAATTCAATTTCATTCAATTAACTGAACATACCATGATTCCAATTTATTGTGATAACTCAATTTTTCAGATCACCTCTAGTTAATCAGTATTTCTGGCATGTTAGATTCTGAGATTCACTTAATATTCTGGTTTTTATATAAGGCATAAACATTATTGTGGGTTCAAACTGTGAAATACATTCCATTTTTGTGATTTCTCTTTTTTTCCCCCCACAGTGGGAACAGTGAACAACGGAGAGGAGAGGGAAAGTTGAATCATGGAGTGCTTACAGGTCCCACCTCTTACAGCAATCCAAATTTGCATTTTGCAATCACACTTTTCTCTCAGCATGAGCAAATTGAACATAAAAACAGTACAGGACAATGAAAACATTTAAGGTTTGCCAACACAAAAGTTGAAACCAGTAAATACATCTGGTCCAATTCTGAACATCAGTATAAGAGCATTAAAATAAACTATGTTGAAAATGGAAAATGTTTCATTATTTTTATATTTAATTTCACCTGTAAACAGTTTATAATGCACAATGAAGGGGAATAAATATTTATCACAGCTTAGTTTCTTTAGTGAGGGGTGCAGACATGTTCTTTCATATGGAAAAAAATTAGGACACTCAAAACCTATGAAACTTAGAGCTTGCATAAGTTTCAAATAAATGACATAAACCCTATCTTGCAGTCTCTACTCATGGAAAACACCCATAGGCTGGTCCGAACTATAGGACATGAAAGAGCCCCAAATTCTGCAAAGTATAACTTTAAGCCATTTATAACATACTTTATACCTTAAAAATGTTTATTAATAAGAAAATTAACTTGATCTGTATCAGTTCTTAGAACATATGAACACTAGCAAGAAAGATGTATGCTATAAATATACTGTTCATCTCACATGCTGTTCAGCCATTTGGTACATGTAAAAGATCAGTCCACAGACACACTAAATAAACCAGACTAAATAACTCCTTAGGTTTTTTTTTCCAACAGGCCCCTCAATAAAACTGAAATATTTGTGTGTGTGCTTTCCTCCATTTTTGGCTTTTTTGCTTGCTTATTTATTTCCACTATTAGAACTGAGTAGATTTGTGTGCCTGTTTTAAAAATAATGAAATGTATAATATAAAATGATCACACATGCCTGTGAGATGTTTCACGTCAATTAAAATGGGATGTGCATACATTCTCTATGATTTAGCCATTAAACGTAATTGCAGACTGACACCCCACCACACATACAAATTGAAAACATGTGCTGCATTAAGTACCTGCTCATTTTGTTTACTTTCTAAAATTAAAAGTAGACAAGGGTTTAGAAAATATATAACCATGCTTGGGACTGGGGTTAACCTACTTTGTTAACATGTGAAGTTGGTATTAAAGCTAATTTTGCTTTCCAGATCCCCAAGCATCTCTCATTCGCAATAAAGTGAAATTCAGCTAGAAACAAGAAAAAATAGGTTTATTGTCACTCTAAGAGGGTTATTAAAACCATTTAGTAATAAAAAATTTCCTTTATTTCTTTGAAGAATATGTAACCTGCCCTTACTTCTTAGGGAATTTGAAAATGACAGGCACACCTTGTTGAATGAATTTAAGAATTATTAATAACAAAAGTACTAAATCTTAGCTTCAGTTCTGTTTAAGGCACCATGTAATAGCCGAGGTACAATGATCCCTGATGTACATTCTTAAATGGCAATGGTCCATCTAGCCACCTATTCAAATTCTACACAATTGGGAATAAGTACAAGTGAGGTGTGCCAGTTACACTGCCTTATTTATTTTTTGTAAAAATTTAAATCCACTTACTTTAAGAACCAGGAAATATTTTTGAAGTAAATATGATGCAGGTTGCTACATTCCTTGCATTCTATAAGTTATCTTTTATAAGAGCAGCAGATTGAACTACTAGTAGGAAAAAGACCTGGAATAGAAGAAAGTCATCCAGATGGAATGGTTTCCTGTATGTCCAGTTCAGCATAAGTAGCACATACACTTAAAAAAATCAAGTCACTTCTTTTTCATCTTCAGTATCTAACTACTACAGTCCCACTTTACAGCTGAAAGCATCTGTGCAGTGGTCTCAAATATAGAATCAGTAGTCTTCAAACAGAGGAACTGGTATGCAAATAAAATGTAAAACTGATGGTTTTTAAGGAAGCTTGCGTTGTTTATGTGATGGTCTGATAATTACGTACATTTATTATGTACTCATTACCATTCTCTCATTTATTCTGCATTCACAAATGCAGAAAACACAATTCTTCCGTAGATAAAAAGCAATAGATCTTCCCCCAACCCTCTAGCATTATAAGAAAAATTCCTAAAACTTTCCCACTGAATGCTCAGAAATGTGATCAAAATAGTAGTGTCTTCTAGTTCTGTCCAATGAAAAGCACCTTTTTATGACAAATTTGATGCATCTGCTGTCAAATGAAAATGCCTCCAGTGTAAATCAAAGAAAATATTTCTTTTGATATTTCACAGAAGTGCATCTAGTTAAAAAACTATGTATATTAAATCATCACCATAACTAACAATTAACACTAACATGTTTTTTAAAAAACTATGAAAAAATTAAATTACTTTAATTATAAGAGGACAAAAACATCAACAGTAAGCTCTGCAAAATCCTTCTTGACATGTGAAACTAAGAAAACTCTTGATATTGAGTAAAATGATTTTGTTTACAAAAATTTTTTTAAACAGATCTGGCAAAATACATACACCCATTGCAATTTCACAACTCCAACAAAGGTAATGTTCAGCAAAGCTAAAATTTGACAACAGTCGCCTTCAGACTTACTCTTGTTTTTTTCATATTAAGCCCAACATCAACAGGGCTAATGTAATCTGGTGGAAAAAAAAGCTTTAATATTTGTTAGACTGCAGTATATGTATTTCCAGTAGCACTGCATTGTCTGATAGTCTGAGTACTTGTGACAATGTGCTCATTGTGAAGTGGGTTCAGGAGATTCTGCTGTACTCCACTTTCTAGTACCGGCTGCATGCAGCCCACCTGAAATGCCTGGGTTAGCTCTGTTTTCTCTCTCTTGGCTTGTGGCTCTCCAGATTCTTCTAGCTCTTCATCTATTTCACTTTCAACTTCACTGCCCTCATCTGCACAAACAAACAACCATGAAACTAGCACACAGTGAAAAACATCTAAATACCGTGAATTACTTAGATTTTTATTTTGCAAACAACACATAATTTATGAAAAATAAAGAAATCTAGTTACGTGAGAAAGTACAGACTGAAAATTGAGATCTTACTGGGAAAATGTCAGTGCGAGATACATGTAATTCAATGAACTCGCAGCTTCAAACATTATAGCATACTTTCTTAATAATGCAATTGTTTTTTCCCCCTTCAAGCCAGCTCAAGCAAATATAATATTGTCTCTAATAAATAACAGTAACTTTGCACTTGTAAAATGCCATTCACCAGCAGAATTTAACATGAACTGAGGTAAAAAGAAGCTAAGTGAAGCCCAAGATCACATAGCAAGCCAGTGGGAGAGAACACAGACAAGATTTGCTGATTCAAGTCCTAAGCTGTACATAGAGGACCTAGAATTTTACCTGCTCCCTGTTATAATCACTATTTTAAAAGTCAGTTATTTGGCAAAGTGCATGAAAAACAATGGACCTGATTCTACAATCCTTACTCAGAGAAAACTCATATGGATTACCTATACAGAAATGTGTATAGAGCCACTCACAAGCATATAAATAGGGGTTTTTTTTGGGAAGGGGGGAGGATTCTGAATGCCTGCTAATGTATAAACAATACGTTTTCTCAAAAGATTTTCATATTAGAGGCCGTATCTACAGCATCCTCTAATTATTGTATACTGAAACTTATTGTAGATCAATAGTTTCCCAACTTTTTTTTCTCATGACCCAGTTTAAAAAAATTGCTGATGTCCACAACCCAACATAATTTGACTAAAGTGTAGGTGCTGGGGCAGGGCTGAGGATGAAAGCTTCTGCTATGGGGATGGGGCAGGGGTGTGGCAGGAGAGGCTTACCTTGAGCGGCTTCTGGTCAGCATTGCAGAAGGGGTGCTAAGGCAGGCTTCCTGCCTGTCCCGGCACCACAGACTATGCTGCAGGTTCTAGCCAATGAGAGTGCAGAGCTAGTGCTCAGACCAGGAGCAGTGCACGAAGCCCTGTGCGCTCTTCTGTCCCCTGTCCTCACCTGGGAGCTGGGCCTACTGCTGGCCGCTTCTGGGGCACAGCACAGTCTGCTGTGCCAGAACAGGCAGGAAGCCTACCCGTAGCACCCTCACTCATTACCTTACAGCAATGAGATCCAGTGCCTGACATTTGAATACCACTGCTGTAGATATTATAGAATACTAATTCAGAAGACTATCACAATACAGTTTTAGGCTCTGCTCTACTATATTTGCTCCAGATAATACTAGTTCTATAAAGAGTTATATGTTAAAGAGATTCAGCACTTACCTTTATCCATATTTCCAGGGGAAACAGCATTTAAGTCACCAAACTGCAAAATAATAAAATAGTTTTGGCTAGTATTAAAATCAGTACTACATGTCCTATTTAAACAAACAAAATGGTGTTGTATTCCATCCTTCTTACTGTGTAATTAGAAAATGATTTGCAATTGAACTCACCAATTTTATTCAAAATGTTACACTCAAATAACTGCTGCAGAGGTGCAAAAACAGCAAGAAAAAATTTTTTTTTTATTGGCCCACTTTAATTTGAATAATTCTGAAAATGGTGAAACAAGTTAAAAACTGAAGTAAAAATACTAACACTTATCTGACATTTTTGCCTGTTTTTGAGTATAAACTCTTTGAGTAAGGTTTCCCTGTGTTATAAAGTTCAGAAACTATTGTGGGTGACTCATGTACTGCCAATATTTTCACAAAAAGCTTCCACAAAATTTCCTCTGAACACTTTGTCTGTAAAAGAGAAAATTGCATTCATATCACTACATCATTAATGCAGTAACACTGGTGCACATACCTACTGTAGATGCACTAAACGAATACAAGTGTGCTCACCACAATTATGGTGAATCCTTGTCCCTCTGGCTTGAAGAAAGGGGGTTACAATGGGCAGTACAAGGCTGTGTCCAGACTCAGGGGTTTTTTCGAAAAAAGTAGCCTTTTTTCGAAAAAACTTCACCTGCGTCTAGACTGCAGCCGCGTTCTTTCGAAATTAAATCGAAAGAACGCGGCTTTTCTTTCGACAGCGGTAAACCTAATTCCACGAGGAAGAACGCCTTTTTTCGAAAGTGCTCTTTCGAAAAAAGGCGTTCTTGAAAGCAAACAGGCTTTTTATAAAGAGAGCATCCAGACTCACTGGGAGCTTTCTTTCAAAAAAGCGGCTTGCTTTTTCGAAAGTTCCACGTGCAGTCTAGACGCTCTCTTTCGAAAGAGGCTTGCAGTCTAGACATAGCCCAAGGGATATGTTTACCCAGATGGAGCAGGTAAGAGCAGAAAAGCAGCTACACCAGGTTGAGAGTTGGTGGCACATTCAGGACATATATAAGAATAGCCATAATGGGTCAGACGAAAGGTCTATATAGGTCAGTATCCTGTCTTCCAACAGTGGCCAATCCCAAGTGCGCCAAAGGGAATGAACAGAACAAGTACCCTATTGGGTACCACAGTTATTTGGGAAGGATGAGTTACACCTATCTGACAGCACATTATTTTTGTCTTAATATTAAGGAAGGAATCAGCAAATATCTGGGAACCGGGCATAGGATATGTGGGAAACTGACAATGTAACCTGCTAGTGCCTCCTTGTGGCAGATGTCCAGTGCAGGTACTTATTACTGAAGGGATACAGTTATCAGATTAAATGGATTGGAAAAGGATTTGAAGAAAACATTTCTTAAATGAGCTAAGGAAAAGGATTTGGGGGTTCCTACACCTGGTACAGCAGGAAGCTGAGTCCCATTCCTTTTTTAGCCCTTTTTACCTCATGCACGTGACTGGATTCTAGAATGGGATCATCATATGGAAAATGATGATGAGCTACACTATACAATTTTACTGCTGGATATTTCCAGATACTTTGAGTGAATAAAGCTGCAGTCTAATCAAATCACGTCCTTTGCCTCTTATCTTTCTTTCAGTGTGGCCAAACAGTCAGGGGTTTACATCAGGTGTATCCTATTCTGGTAGTTAACTGATTTATGCAAACTAACTCAAGGCAACATTGCCTACCAGCCACCCAGACCAAATGGAAAACAATCCTCCTGTTCCATCTCTCTTCTGAATGAGAAACTGCAGAACAAAATCTGACCTATACATCTCAGGTGAGAACAATATACATTTATATAGTATATTTCTAGTACTACTATGCTTCATTACGGTCCAAAATACAAAAAGAATAATCTTCCTTTTGCTATTTCATCCAAAATCAGAAAGTGAAGAGATACATAAGTCATAAACAAAAAAATGGTTAGCCACTCCCTCCAAAAAACTGGTTGTTCTTTGATCTATAAAAGTTTTAAAATCCTCTGTTTATACTAGACCATTATTGAAACCCTCATGCTAAACCCTTACAGCTGGCAAATTCTATTTCAACTAAAAAGACAGAACTATAGCAACTCAACATTTTCATATATTCCTTAACATACACACATTATAATGAGGAAACTCTGCAATTAAAAAAGCCAATATCAGATACTGATATATGAATATTTAGCAGGTGGCTATTCAGAAAAATGATTTATTTTCTAAATTGTGTCATGCCACATTACACTGCACTACAAATGTAAAACACTACAAATTAAACTGACAGTATGTGGCACTCCCCCAACCTTTATTAAAGTATAACATCCATGGATAACATTTAATAATAATATTAAATAAACCTTGAGGGAAGGCTGTATGATATCAACTGAAGTTGTAAGTTGACTTAATAATATAATAGGACATAGCATAATAATTCTATGGTATAAAACCCACTATGTATCAATTAGATTAGCCACCCGCTAACCATATGGGTCCCAATCTAGCTACCATTTACTTATGCATGGGTTTTATATGCATGACTACTATCACTGAGGCCAAAAAGACTAGTTGTGTATAAAACCAAGAATATGTAAGTGTTTGCATACCGGGGATCTGAGATAGGGATGTAAAATTCCATTTAATTGGTTAACCAATTAAAGGGGGAGCGGGCAAGAGGGCCACTCCAGCCCGGCTGGGAACTCAGTGCCATCACTATTAAAGGTGATGCTTACCAGTTAACCTTTCACATCTCTACTCTGAGACATTTACATCTAATCCAAATGATTTATTTCAGCTATTCAGTTTATTATGCAGATGTTTAAGGACATTAATATTTACTTTCTACTAACAGATCACTGAATAGAAGAATTTCCAAATTCTATAAAAAGAATTTCTTTTGCAATTCTTATAGAGTACTGAGTTATAAGAGCTCAATAATTCTGCAAACCAGGCAACCTCTTTAGTTGTTTAAACGTGGCACCCAAGTATGAAAATGTTGGTCTGTTTTGAACCAAGTACAGACCTTATGCCTACAGAATTTATATTATTCAAGCCTTCCCACATTTTCAAAATTCATCCCTAAATCAAGTCTCTTGCATATTATCTTACCTCTCCCATAACTGCTATAGGTGTTTCTCCCGTTGCCTGAGCAACACGATGCTCTACTAAGTAAAACATGTACTCATCATAAAGCAGGCGGATCAGATGAAAAGAGCCAAAACTAGCAGCACTGCGTAAGGTTAAGTCTCGAATAACCATTGAGCTGTTTAAAAATGAAAAGATTATTTATTTAATTATAAATAAGTATTAAAGTTACCCCATATTTACAATTACATGCCTTATCCTTATGAAGGCTTAACTCTAAGACAAATTTCTGCAGTTAACATTATCCACAGACACAAAACTCTTGAGTTAGAGGGTTTTCAGTGTGCAATTCAAAGGAAAGATATCAGAAAATATTATTTGCCTGAATACTCCAGAATTTATATTCCATACCTAGTTTTGCAAATATGAATTATTTCAGCATAAACCCATCCCAAACATTTCTCAAAAGTTAGCTATAGTAGGTGAATTTTTACATTATGCTATTTTCAGAGATGTCACTGTACAAGTGAACAACTTCCCCTTTCTCGGAAATCACCATCTGAGAGACCACTCTCCTAGAATCTAGGGGTCAGATTTTCAAAAGTGTGTTTCTTTATGCATGCGCACCTTTCAATACATTGGTATAGGCTAAAAACATTGTATTATCATTCTAATTTAAACAAAGATCTGAAAATATAGAAGAAAATATGCTTTTCAGCTATACAATCACTGGTGCCAAAACTACAACAAATTTGCACAGATTTCTCATTGATAATTTTCAAACCTGGTCACATAAGTTGTGCCAATAAGGTGCACCATTGTATGTTCAATTGGAGATTTTGTTTGAAAAACCCCACAACATTAATATTAAAGAGTCATGAAACGGATACTAGAATGGATCATCTTTAAAAAAATTAGAAATGTTCTGTCAATGTATTTTATAGAGACAGAAAAAAATTACATAAATACATGGCCATGTTATATGTAAACATGACATACAAAGAATATACTTTATTTACCAATTCTTCTTTGAACAACAGAAGCAAACATAGAATATCTACTTTTAGCATGATGTTTTTTCATATTTTAAAAAAAGTTGGTCTTCAAAATGAAACAAAAGTAAAATACATAATATTTTAATAAATATTAATAAAAATACAGTGATATGATGTTTCATCCCAAAGAATTCCTGATCATGTTACAAACTTAGGACCAAATTTTGCTTGTTTGCACTTGCACAGTGCTTCTGAAATAGTTCATGAGGATTGCTTATCAAACACTGAGTTGCATTCTGGCTTTGAATTTGATGTTAATATAACCCTACATTTTTGATAAGTGCTATCGGATCTTTAAGGATGAGCGCTCTATGGTTTGATCTTATTTTCTTCAATGTTATTTAAATCTTCGTGAGTGAGAAAGCACACAAACAGCCAAATATGAAATACAATGAAAACACCTGAGAAAAATTTCAAATCCTACCTGTAGAAAGACCACTTTAGCAGAAATTGCCGTGCTGCTTTAGGAAAGCTGGGTCTTCCTTCATATGGTTTCAATGCTTGCATCATTACATTATCGAGCCAGGCAGCCCACTGCTCCAGAGTGCTCTGCTGCTGAAGAGTCATCTTGAAGTCTGTTTCTAGTCTTTGAACCATGTTGTCATCACACTGGCATACCCAGGAAGCCTGCTCCTATTACAATAGAGAACATATCCTCAATTAACATCATTACGTGAAGCCTATGAATAAATGGAAGATTATCATGAAAGATTAAAAAATCAGCTGAATGGTGATGATGACCATCTCTTTTCACTCACACTAACGAAACCATTTTTATTTTTAACACCCGCCCCCATCGTACTCTAACAATAAGATGGACAAAAATAAACCAAATATGAAAATAAGCTTTAAATAAACTACCTAAAGAAAGAATGCTGGCGAAAAATAGAAATGAATAGAGTGCAATACTAAAATATTTTCATATGAAATGTAATTAATGCTAGTCCTTCCTAATTTTTTTAACGAAAATTTCAGGAGTTGGTGGAGTTGTAGGTAGTATAGTGGTAGCATGTCAGAGAGCAGAGGAGTATTTGTGCAGAGAGTAATAAGCCGTGGTTGATAGGCAAACAAAACTAATTCAAATTAATTATGCAATATACACTGTATTTATGGACAATCTGGAATCAAATTTTAATATAATACATAATCTGAAACATACTCTGACTATAGCTGGTAAATATATTACTTTTAAATGTTTTAAAAATGTGATTAGGATACCCTCACTAGAAATACTGCAGCATAGTTAGGTACTATTACAAGGCGTCGACAACCTACAGCACACATGCCACTGCCGATTTTCACTGGCACACGAGACAGGAACTCAGCCCAGCCTCTCCTCCCCCGTGAAGCCAGAAGCCTGCGCCAGTGTTCCCTTTGCATGCAAGTTTGCACAGCAATGCACAAAAATTCTAATCTAAGCTCACCCACCTCTGCAGCAGCACTTAACTTTCCTTCTACTCCTGGAAAGTGAGTGTCATGGCTGCTCCCGCTGGTGGGGACGGAGATGGCTCGGGACCAAATTAGGAGGTGGCTGCTCAGGCAGCCATTCTAGCGGCCAGGGCTATGTTGGGGGCCAGCTACCACTGGGGCAGAGGTCACATTGTGGGGTGGCTGCCGCTGGCGTTTTGGGCTGAGAACATATGGCGGACAGGTGGGTTGCTGTCGTGGCATGTTGAAGCCATGGCTGGGCGGGTTGGGGATGGGCGGTGGGGCGGGGGGGTTGGAGATGGGACAGGCCTACAGTGGTATTGGAGGGTGGCTGCTCGGGCGTGCTATAGATTGCTGAACCCTGACTCAGAGGCTTGTGTGCTGCTTAAAGTATCCAACTACGAGCCCGAGATCAGAGAACTCAGCAAGGCAAAGCAAGGCCAAAGATCACATTAAATGGTAATATCTGCATCTTAATTTATTTATTAATGAAGCTACCGTAAGTAGGACTTTAAAATGTATCACCGGCACGCTGACCCGTAAATAGAAATGAATGAGGTAAATCTCAACACACCACTTCTGAAAGGATGCTGGCCCTATGCTATTAGATATACCCAGAAGACCACACCTCTTTCCTTAGACCTCATCATAGATAAAGCATAAGTTCTAAAAAAATTTAAAATCTGGATTAATTTGCATCTCCACTAAATAAAAGTCAGCAGAACACTTTGGATTGGATCAGAAAAAATCAAGAGGAAGAGGCTCTCATGTAGTGGTGTGCAGGGCTAACTGCAACCCACATGTGGCCCACTGGGGTTCTGGGTGTGACAGACATTTTGTTTACTTTCGCTCATATACTAGGTTCCCAGATTCCACAGGTTTCCGTCCTTTTAGGCTTTTTCCTACAAGTATTACTAAAGTGAAAATGAGATGCCTGCCGGTTGTCCACTACATTGACTGAACTCTGTGTGCTCCCTCCAGGCCCACCACCGATAAGGGGTGTGGGCGGAAGGGGCCCTGACAATTCACAAGGGCCCAGGACCACTGGCTGCTGCTACTGTGGCAGCAATAGCCAGAGTCCCAGGCCTTTTAAATCTCTGCTAAAGTGCCATGTGGTGCTCTGGGCTACTCTCAGAGCAGCCTGAGGAGTGATGGGGCCTGCAGTATGGGGCATTCCAGACAGTCCTGAGGGCTGGCTGCCCCACAGCCACACCCCTTCTGCTCAAGGCCACGCCCTTTCCAGAAGTACAGAGCTGTCCCACCCCCCACCCCTTTCCCAGAGGCCTAGCCAGGTGGTCAGCCCCCTTGGCTCCCTCTGCATCCAATCAAACACTGCTTAATCCGGACACACTGCAAATTCTAGGTACGCAAACGCAATTAGCAGAACATCCTATTCAGGGAGACTAGCTTGGTTATGACAATCTTGTGGACCACTGAGACAAAGGAGAGCTACTCATATAGCCCACTTGCTAGCCTAGGTTGCCCATCCGTGCTCTTTTCCAGGGAACAGTAGTGTAAACTTTTGGATTTGGATAGACGTACTCAGTTTAAATCTCAGCACTCAGTTTACATCTCAGCAAAATGTTCTGGATGGAAATATGTGAGCTAATACTATGGTTAGAGTTCTGGGGAAAACATTTAATTTACTCTATTTTGTAAAGCTACAGTTTACCTGGACATTTGCAAAATCCACACGATTGAGGTCATTGAGCATCTGGTTGATTTGAGAAGTGTTCTGAAGCACGGCACGAGCTGCCTGAGCCAGGTGATTAAGAGATGTGTATCTTCGCAGAGTCTGGGCAAAGGCACTTACAGCGGCAACCTATGAAGAAATACAATTTCTCAAATAATACTCTTATATTATTTTTGGATCAAATTGCCCCTTGATTAGTTGATATTCAATGTTATATTCATTTTGTGTGAGCCATTTCATGTGTGAATCATAGCATTTAAAATTACAGATAAAATAAGTTTTTTCTTTTAAAGAATTTCAGCAAACAAAACAAACAGAATAGCATTTGTTGTAACTGTCAAAATGCTATTATTTTTACTATTGTTATTAATATAATTCAGGCTTACCATTAAGAAATGCAATTTTCATTCAAAACTAAATGGTTACTTAATTTTACCTTGGTTTGTATCATTCTCTGTGGAATATTGTTCATGGCATTGGAAAGCCAACCTTCAAGGCTTTTTGCAAAATTGCGAATGGCTTGGGTCAAGGCACCTAAACAGTAAAGAATAAAAACAGAATGAAAAGAAGAGCCTTTACTGAAACCTTCATTTCTGCTATACTTTAATATTTTACACTGAAGAGATCTGCTGTTTTTACATATACACAAGTTTCTTGTCTAGGTTCAAAATTTTTCATTCACATATACAATGTGCAAAAAATTATTTTATTTTGCAAGCTAAATTGACCTCTATATCTAAGAAGCTTTCAAATGTCTATGGCCTAAGCAACAAAACACCAGTGGTGAGTACTGACGGGATATTAACCACTGTAACTGCTGTTTTGTATTTAGTGAAACAACCAGAATTCTCTAGAAACTTTACATCATTAATTTTCAACCTTCCAGTGCAATTAAGTGCCTCTTCTTCTCTGGTAGAGAGAGGCTGCCGAAAATTGTAATCATTACAAAAGTACAATTTTCTCAAATTAGCCCATATTGCGCTGCACCCTCACTATTACACTGTTTATTCCAGTTTTTAAGAATAAAACATATGATGCAGTGCTCAAAGGCAGTACCAATGAGCAAAATATAACATACATAACTGATAGAAAGTGGGGTTATTCTTACCATGGAGAAGTCTCTGTTTCCCTTTCCCAGTACAGCTCCCTCAGCACTGATGAGTGGTCCACACAGGTGATTCGAGAGAAATTTTATAGCCCTGTCGATGAGCCTGTGACATCATATTCCCTTCTATAAAGGAAGAGATGGACACTAACCTGCATTTCTCAAGTGAGAAAAAGTTCTAGTTCATGAAGGGGGATGGAAGGGAAATGTGTGCTGAGGGAGCTACACTTGGAAAAGAAAACAGGAACTGCTCCACAGTAAGTAAAACCTCACTCTTCCTTACCTCTCACTTGCTCTCTCAGATGTAATATATAGCTCTAACAAAATAGTGTCACATAAAAGAGAAAGGAAAGCTATACAAGTTTCAAATGACTTATGATGAACATTGCAGCTGTAATAATGGTGTAAAAAAGTTTGAAAGAGGGAAACGCAATTGAATTGTCTTGAAACGATTTTGCATGACATGTAAGTGAAACAATGAAAATGCCTATAACTAAGTATTGATTGGGTCTGTTTATAAAATTCTCTCTCTCGGGTAGAGTAAGAATTAGTTGCAAAGAAAAGCCACATTATTCGAAAAACGACTTACAACTTAAGCAATTGATGATTCCCTTTCTTAAAGTTGTGTGTTTTTAAAGTAATAAATGTTATTGATAGCTATTACAATTTAAAAAAAAAATATTTTTCTTCCTAGGATATTATTTTGTTTTCAACTATACAGTGGGAACTAGTGATGGGTGAACCTGGTAAAGTCTGAGCCTTGTGATATTATAAAACTGGGCTGTTAGTCATACAAGAATAGGCTTTTTCATGAGTTTTCTTTTTTCCCCATTATTTGTAAAATACTTAGCATACTTCTGTTTCTATGCAAATTTATTTCTGTACACTTATTAATTAGTTGTGCATTAAATTTATGTAACCAAGAGTTTTACAGTATAAGGTTTCTTCAATACAGTATTTGTCATCCTGTACTTACTGGGTTAAATATATTTAGTTGTTTAAGACAGTGGTTCTAAAGCAGTTTAGCAACCCAAGGACCTCCATTTTGATTTACATTTTTTTTTTTACAGACTCCCACCCCTAAGCTGACTTCCAATTTGTCCCAAGAGTGCTCAACCCCCACTCTGCCTAAGACCCCACCCCCACTCCACCTTTTCCACTAAAGCCCCACTCCTACCATCCCTAGCCCCCACTTCTTCTGCTCCTCCTCCTTCATCCCAGAAACTCCTGCACACTGCTGAAGAGCTGTTCCATGGCATGCAGGAGGCACTGGAAGGGAGGAAGGGATGATCAGTGGAGCCAGCAGCTCCAGACATGACTTTCAGACACGCTGGGGTTCCCTTGTGAACTAGCAAGGGTTCACAGAGTCCGGTTTGCAAACTGCTGGTCCAAGGCAAAACGAGCCTTTTCATGGACAAACACTGTACAACATATAGACTGCGTCTAGACTGGCAAGTTTTTCCGCAAAAGAAGCTGCTTTTGCAGAAAAACTTGCCAGCTGTCTACATTGACCGCTTGAATTTGCGCAAGAACACTGACGATCTAATGTAAGACTGTCAGTGTTCTTGCTCAAATACTATGCTGCTCCCACTTAGAAAAAAGCCCTCTTGCGCAAATGCTTTTGCGCAAGCGGGCCAGTGTAGACAGCTAGAAACTGTTTTGCGCAAAAAAGCCCCGATGGTGAAAATGGCGATCGGGGCTTTCTTGCGCAAAACCGCGTCTCGATTGGAATGGACACTTTTCCGCAAAAAGTGCTTTTGCGGAAAAGCATCTGTGCCAATCTAGACGCTCTTTTCCGCAAATGCTTTTAATGGAAAAACTTTTCCTTTAAAAGCATTTGCGGAAAATCATGCCAGTCTAGACGTAGCCATATAGTAAAATATCTCTTTCACATACTTGTCTTTCAGAGCAAAGTATCTCTAATCTACTTTTAAAACAAATGTGATGAAAAAGGAAATGAACATCATCTTGACAGAATGTCTTTTGTTATGAAGAAAAAGAGAAATAGATGATAGTAAGAGACATGCTAACTTTCAGAGGAGGAAGTTTCTTTTATGTATATAAAATAGATTATTTAAGATAAAAATTGTGTAGAATAACTATGAATTTCTAAAGTCCTCAGAAGGAGGATTCTCATTTTAAATCCAAAACAAATTCTGTGCCCTCTTCATTTCACACAATTGAATGCACGCTACCTAAATGTGTGTCAGCCTTTACTTCCTAAGACCTATTGTAGAGAGGAACTGAAAACATTTTATTTTTTTCTGAAGCGGTGATTGTTAACTACAAAAGACCTTAAAGACTGCATTCATTGACCCATTATTGGTGATGATTTGGCTATCGCACAAGAAAACTAATCTAGAGAATGATATGGTGATCTTGCATACAGTTTTTGATTTGTTATAAACTATGAAGTGCTGCTGTCAATTACAAAAAAAAAAAAGGTGTTGCAGAAAATGTCATGGGGAGTAGCATTGTTTATTCCATTAGTATTGTGCCAGCTAATGCTGATTTCAGATCTAAAAGTGCTCATCTTCTGTAACATTTCCAGGATTGTAAAGATTATTGATGGTGATGTCATAGGCAAAATTCAGGTGTTTAACAAATATAGATACCATAGTTAACAGAATGCTAATGGAAGAGACCAAGACAAAGAATAAAAGAATGCTGGGTTTCCATTCCTGATAATATAAAATAGCTAGAACGGTAATCGCTGCAACTTAAAACAAATTTTAGTTCTATATTTAAAGGGGATTTTGAACATAACATTCATTACCTCTGCCGCTATAGCAACAGAACCTAGTAGTTAAAAGTGATGGGGAACCTTCAAACAACTTGATTTGGATTCTTATCTGCAGGTATCATGACAACAAGGTCTCCAGTATTTGCCCTGGCAAGAACTTGCAGAAGCACAGGGAGATATATTCAATACAACTTCATTATCCTTTAACAGCGAACCCCATAAGAAGCTGAGATTGGCTTTCCTCTCCTTTGCAAAGGGATTGCAAAGAACTCTCTTTTCCCACAACTGTCATATCATTCCCTTTACCTCAATGAGCAAAAAAGCATTTCAGGGCAGAGGCTCTCAACAGCTTTGGTCCCCCCTCCTAGAGTTTTGGGATAGGAAAACTCTCCACATATGTTAGGGTTGAAGCTGATAGATTTTTTTAAATAAACTTTTTATTTCTGAAATTTGGCTTTTTTAAAATTTCGAAATTAGGTTTTCATTTTTTTGGATATGTTCCACAGAATCTTCAATACAAAAATCTAACTTGTTGATGTCTCTTCAAAACTGTTTGTTTCTGTTTTCTTAGTAATTATTTCTCTCTCTGTTTATATAGCAAAATGTTTTCAGAATCAAAGATTGAAAATTTGGAAGAAAAAAATTAAAAATTAGCTTATGAAAAATAGTGGCATGAATATGCTTTTAGAATGTCCACAATCATTTCCCCCCTATATTTTTGGACCAGCTGTAGTTGACCTTCCAGGTGCCCAGTCAGAAAGAAAGAGGTTACTTATAACTAGAGCTTCTTTGAGATGTGTGGTTCCTATTTTGGCTGTCACATGGGTGTGCATGTGTGTCATGCACCGGAGCCAAAATGATTTTATAGAAGTAGTATCCACAGATATGTAGTGCATCATCCACATGTTCGTATATGAGACTGTATGAGGCCACATGGTTCAGCAACACTCTAGTATCCCTCTTACCAGCAACCAATGGAGTCTGCAGCAGAGGAGATGAAGACTGGACATTGGAATCCAAATAAGGACCATACATCTCAAAGAACCTCTAGTTACAGTGACTAACCTCTGCCTCTTCTTCTCCTTCTTCAAGTGATGGTCCCTATATGGATTCCAAACATGGGTGATTAGCGAGCAGTACGCAGTGTGGAGGTGTGTGAGAGGACTCACAAAAAGTTATAGTCTGTAAGATAACATGAACTGCCACATGCACCACAGTTTTAGGGATGATGGCACAGTGAGTGGTAAAGTATGGAAAGAATACCACATGGCTGCCTGCAAATGTTCTGCCAAGGTATATCTCCAAGGCAGGCCAATTTGGAGGCATGCATCCACATGGAGTGAGATGTTACTGCAGGAGGCGCGGTTAATTATGTGTGAGAGTGTGTGTAACATTCTGCAATGCAA